TGCTCAATTTCTTTGTAGAATCATTTGACAGCATAAACAACATTTTTTAAAAGATTATATTCAAGTGAATTTCCAATAACTTAGATTTATCTTCTTGAAACCACATTATAAGATATTAAAGCATTTAAATTGCTGAGAAAAGTGGGCGAAAATCATAATTTGTATGAAGTAAAGTTTTAGTTCGTTATTTCTATAGCTAATTATTCGGAATCATGCGACGCATATTGTGAAGTTGCAAATAGTAATGCTGATATAATCCGATGGGTAATAATTTTAAAATACTGTACAATTACATAATTTTTTTAAGACAATTATGTCCAAATTATATATAAAAATTATAACCTTATACAAACGATTCTTTATTTATTCGTGACTTTTGTATAGACAAAATCTTTTTATCGAAGAAAATAATTAATATCGTAATATTGGTAGGCAAGCAAGTTATATATATATATATATATATAAAAGATAAGAGATAAAGAATACTTCAAATTTCAAAAGTAACAAGTTACGAAGTATTTAAAATGAAATATGAGAATGTATTTTTATTTAAGCATATAAATTTTAGTTTGATGATTTTAAATTTAAAATATTTTGTGTTACAATTATGTTTCTAATTATCAAGTACTATAGCAATTTATATTTAATATTTATTTTAACCAAAGTTTTAAAACATATCGTTCATTTTTAATTAAATATGAATGCATGACGTGCTTATTTTGATTTAAAAATGCTTTGAAACATAATGAATATTTATTGAGATATTTTCATAATTAAAGCAAGCCTTGGGTCAAAAATCTTTAATTCTTGGTACTAGAAACTGGAAATCTCCAAAGTCGGACGATTTTAATAAAGATTTTGAATCCCAAACTCTATTTTCGACCTAAGTCGATTACACAAAATCGTAATTCACTTGGAAACCGTAAAGTTACAGAATTTTATTTTCAATTATAGCAATGTATGAGCAAATAGTTTTCTTGACAAGCATATAATTTAACACTGAAATATTAAACAGTATTTAAATGCATTACTGTGTATAATGGCCACTAAACCAACCAATTAAACTTAAGTGATCTCAGATATATTTGGTTCTTTGAACTTCATGAGCATATAGAAAACCAGTACCGTACGGATTATTATACAATTTTATAGGTTAGTTCATTTCACGAAATTTGAATAAAAATTAATATTAAAATTTAGTATTCTGAGTAATTTTTGGATTCAACGGCAGTATAGTTATCGATTAAAATTAAGCATCATTGCACAAAATAATTAGTCTAAATAATACTTTTCAATAAAAAAAATTTTTTTTTGAATGTTGTAAATTATTTCGTAACAGTCACGTGAATATACGCAAAACGCAATTTTTTAAAAATTGATTATTGACGTTTTGTGATAGTCAAATATACAGAAATGCCATAGTGAAACGATTCGAAATAAATCCCATTGATTCATGGCATTCAGTCCTAATCATCAATCATAAATATATTCGAAATATTAAGTTAGGATATGTATTGGTATTATAAGATACGATATCATACTTATAATGGTCAAATTGGTCCATAATTATTGTTACAAATTATAGCACTTTGCTCTTTACCATTTAACACTCTACCTAGTTACCTGTTTTAACATTTCTTAATCATCAAAGAAAATAAAATCTGATGTAGTTTTAATAGCTTGGCCAGGACCATTCCAATCTTACGGATTATAACCATTAATTTTTGCGACAAAGATAGCAGCTCCTTTATCATCACTTTTATTATAAAATATTATTACATCCGTTCTGTCTCTACTAGCACGATAGAGCAATTTGAATTCCCGCCAACACAAGCAATCAATGGCGAAAAATATTCGAAACTTGGTTAAATAACGTAAATAATACCTTCATTAAGAATGACCTGGGTGGTTTGATCCTTTTTTTTACTTTTTTTTCTCCTTGAATTTTTCCAAATAGGCGGTACCCATATCCTGAGGCGGAAAGACATTTGCGTGAAATCTGTCACATAAAGTGTATATTACGTTTTAAAACAATAAATAAACTTTGTTTTTAAGTAACGTTTTTTATTATGCAAGTTTGGAACGGTTTCCGATTAAATCAGGACATGACATTTTGTGCGTATACAAAATTTCCCATGCATTTTCTTTCCATTTACGTTAACCTTTCTTTGTTCGGTATCCCTCCTGTATGAAAATTTTCCCATTTTACTTATTATTTTTTTGATAGATTTTTGGTGTGAAAAACGTATAATATAATATTAAGTAGTCAATTCAGAAGACGAATCACCCGAAAACAATCATGATTTTCTGCATTTATAAATCAATCATGGTAAAATTTACTAGCGATCCTGTTCCCACTTTTAATATTTAGCAACCAAATAATGTTAAAATAAATATTATCTTCGCAAAATTTCTTGGAATATTCGTTTATTGATGAATGTAAACAACCTTTTCTTCTTTATATGGTTGATAAAATTAATAGAAAAATAAATACGTGTTAAAATTGAAACTCGAAAAAAAAAACTTAATCGCGTTGTTGCTTCATTCATTTTTAAATCGAATCTAAATTTTTGAATTAATTTCATTCTCTAATTCGAACTCGATACTCACTACAAAAATCGTGGTTCATTCAAGGATGAAAAATTCATTCAGTCGCACGTTCATGTTTGAACCACATGCCAATAAATTACGCAATAACGTTTAAATCCTTATAAATTTTGCAATTATTTTATTAAAATACATGATTCGAAAAATTATATGATTTAAAAAAATAAAAAATAAAAACAACTTAAATATTGCATAATGTACAGTATATCACGGTACCTACTTTCATATTTTAGTAACTTGAAATACTTCATAATCATCTATCCGAAACTGACCATTTGGAATATCAATTTGAAAATAACTACCATCTCTACCTGAGTCATTGTAATCCAAGGTATTATTACTACCACACAATAAACCATGATATAATCCAAATGATGGACCATTTTCTTGACCACAATAAATAGCACAATCTTGCTTATTATTCTTAACATAAGCTACTTGTGCAGTATTAAGGTTTGTTCTATTACGAATGAAAATATAAAACTTTTATCAGTAGATTTCCATTGATTATTTCCTTCCCAACCAAATGGATTATATCCTCCCACTATTTGTTCCGTTCCATTAATTTTTATAATGACTACATTGGCTCCTTTGTTATCACATTTTTGATGAAATGCGGCTGGTGTATCGCCATCTCTGCTGGCACGATAAAGTAAATTAAACTTATAAGGATTCCCTTTTTCAATGTAATGTAAAATTTTTTTATTCTTACCGGAAATTGTTGAAAATAAAAGTAATGGAAAGAGATTAACTAATATTTTACCAAATATCGATCGTTCCTTATCGATCCAACAGGAAAATGCTGCAAAGTAATGAGAGTTAACTAATATTGAATTACATTTCGACACTCTAGGTGGTTGTATATTAATATCCAATTTCCTATTTGGTGCCAAATGGAATTCCAAGAGGTTATTAACCAAATCGTTTGGTAGAAATTCTCTAAAAGGAAGTACTTTATCAAGAAATTCTTCTGAAGACATGTGATAAAATCTAATTAAAGGAATATATCTATGAAGAGCTCTTTCCATAATAGTAGTTTCTTCCTTGCTCCATTTGTTGACATCTTTAGGAATAGACGGTTTCTGAGCGAAACTCCACTTAATTAAACTATCCCAAATATTAATTTCCTCTAAACATAAATCATCTCGTTTCAAAAGTAATTCCAATAAAGGTGCTTTTATACTGATAAAATGATCAGAATTAAACAACACCTTGGGATCTTCACAGATTTTATCAAAATAAAAATTGCATAGTTTTACAAAAGACTCGTGTTGATAAATCACTTCAAGAGTTTCTATAGGATTTTTTTGTAAATACTCATGATGGTACTTAATTAAATTTTCTTCAATCTTGGGAACTAAGGTATGAAGATTAAGTGCCTCTACTGCAATTGACAATTTTAATAGGGTAGGTGTTCGGAAGAACAAAAAACTGCCAAAATTAGTCTTAATCGCTTATATCTTTTAAATAAGTTCGGACATGATAAGTTCTTTACTTACTTTGCTAGTAATTTCCAATATGGAGATTACTCTTATTTTGATATTAGTTTTGATAAAATGATTAATACTTGCTCGCATGAGTTAGCCCATTATATTCAGTTGGTTAATAACTCGGGTCCTTCTAACTTCGTCAAGTCAATCTTTCCACAATAAATAAATCTGAAATAATATACAGTATTATATTAAATTAATCACTTAGTTTTTATTATTGTATTAATTGATTGCATAAGTTTTACCTTAAGATAATTTTAAAATGATGTGGAGAAATATTTGGCATTCTTAAAATAAATTTTCCATCCTTTTTCTCGACATTTTCTTTAATGAATTCATTATGAAAATATTGTGACCTGATACGTAAGATATTAGAATGAGCATGAAGTTCTTTGATGTTTTCTTCACCAGCTTATATTATGACATCGTATCCGTCACAAATTTTTAGTAACCTTTCATAATCATTAGCTGCTTCTTGCCAAAATTTTAAAGACATTTTTTTTTTTTTAGTTGTCAAAAAAAATAATGTATTAATTGCGCCGAAGTTTCTAAATATAGAAATTTTACTAAATCGTACGCCCAAATTGGTTATTAAAACGCCACAAGATTTTCATCCCCACGTGATTTAGTAAATTATTAAAATCACCATTTTTTTACCAGGGGTTAGAAATTTTTTTTCGGAATAAAATCATATTTGTCATGACATAATTTGTCACAAGGTTAATTAAATGCCATAATGCCGGTGGGTGAAAAGGGTAAATTAAAAATACCTTACGGATCATATGATTTCATAACATTACGAATTCACTGTATATTCCAACTTCCTCAACTCCAGCGACTGATTTATATGATATAACGACACAATATTTGTTGTCTCCATCGAATACATTTCGCATGGACTTTTCACTCGGCAACAATACTTAGATCCGATTTATGCGACATATTACGTTTCACATCCAGACTTGTCAGGAAACAACTTTGATTCTTTTCTCGATGCTCAACCTCAGTTGATAAATTCCCCTATTTCGCCGGACAAGATGCATACTCTGCGTCGCCTTCTCACGCTGTTTATTCTTTCAACAGTTTTGATTATGTTACATTGGTTGACAATTCCAATATTAAAGAATTCTTTAACAATGGCGCAACAACTTTACCGTCAGCTCCTACGATGAGCGGAGATGTGAAAACTTATTTCAACGAGTCACACTGAACCTCCTGTCCTGTTCAGTATTTCAAATAAGGCGTTGTGCTTCATTTGGCGAATCAAAAACTTTTTTTCTACTATACATAGGTTATTCAACTTATATATGGACAATTTTCCTTTGGAAAAAAAAATTTTTGTAAAATTTGCTTGTTTTCTAAAAAGCAAAATATTATGAATTAATTATTAATAAAAGATACTAAACTAATATTGTCAAATTGTTCTTTCATTTATTAAAATTAGTACAATTACTATTACGTTTTTTAAAACAAGGAAATTTCTCGACAATAATGAAAATTCCCCATGCCGACCTTTTTTCTATATTGAAAAAAGAAATTTTAATAGTTTTTTTCCTTTGGGATTTAAAAAATGAACATTATTCTGTGCAATTATGGAACGTTGTTAGCTTAAACGGTTCGTCGTTAAGTTAACTAAGATTATTTGCTAACAGGGAGTTTAAGTTCGTCTAAAC